AATTTTCACATGCTTCTGGTTCCCCCCTCTTTCAACCCCCCCCCCCCAGTTCTATCATAATCCAAAAAGCACCAGTCTTTAAAAGGCCGGGAACGCATTTATCGGCGCCTCACGCGCGTGAGGATACTTTTTTTATGAGATAAGCCTGTAAACTATTAGACGGATCACCTGATGGTAAGCAATCGACGTCGCCCATGGACACTTATAACACCAGAGGCGTTACAAGTGCGTTACCGGTCTTTTGGGAATTAGGAATTTGAGTGGGACATCTACCATGAATCGGTGAAACCTTCCTGATTGTCTTGTGGTACAATTATGTAAAATGAATAGGGAGAATCAAGTTGTGCAACCCAGTACACTCATCGAAATGTATTCAGTAAAATACCGTAAGGCTGGCAATCTTATGCCTGTGTTCGAGGCTTTGAAGCTGGGCCCCGAAATAAATAGTAATTTTAAATAGACGCGCGCAGTTCGCGAGACATTCGCCAGATGTGGACGCACCCTAAGAGGCGGATAGGAGTACATTATTCATCCGCTTATGAAATCCGCTATCACTGGCAATGCACCTTAAAACCAAACTCAATAAATTTTAGACAGAGACAGAATATAAAGGCGTGGCTTACATTTGTCTTAAGTTTCCATGTGAAGGAAAGAGATAGAGATACATTTAAGATGTTCTATCCTATAAGAAATTAAATTGAATAATATTACAGTTACTATAAAGCTTAGTCTTTGAAGGGGTAGGTAGAGATGTAAGTCCTATGTGATTTATTTTTATTGGTTATGTAAATATTGGAATCGTTTTGTCGTGTTGGTGGAGAGGTACTCACGTACACACTATAAATGCTTTAAAGTGAAAGTAAAAGTGAAGTAGTAGGTAAGTGTGACTGTTGAACACAGGGTACTAGGTTCGACTCCTGAGGTAACCAGTGTGACAGTGCTACCGTAAGCACGGGCCTGCGGACGGTGAGCACGGGTAACTCGCCACGCGACCAGCACCAGGTCCACGCGCGTCTCATGAGCCTTCAGACCACCACAGATGGGGCCCAATAGGGTTGATGCGGCATACGGAGCCGCGGAAGACTCAACGGGTAGCCGGGGCTCCGGCTCGAAGTGCAGGAGAAGGAACGGGGTAGTTTTTAGTTAGTAGGAGTCTGACACTCCCTCTCGCCTCACCCGAAGCTATTGGATGGTTTTCCCCCTCTAAAAAAAAGCAGTGTAATATACGGTTTTAGGTTACAGTTTGTCGATAATTTCTCAACAATATTGTTTCACTTGACGAGGAATTCGACTGCAGCGCCACAGTCGCTTCGTCGCGTGTCGCGGAATACTGCTCACCAATATATTTTTTTAAAAACATTGCCCCACACTAGGATTTTTTCCTGTGTCGTGTGTCCGTTTACAAACATACAAGTTCACATACACATGACACCCAGACCCGAAACAACAATCTGTGGATCACACAAAGAGTGGTTCCGTGCGGGAATCGAACCCGCGACACTTTGCGCGGCAGTCGGTTGCCCAGCCACCGCGTCAACCGTGTAGTCCGAATATGAGCCTCTAACATGGCTTCAAACTTGTCGAGTACCTAGTTGAACAGTTCTAAAATCAAATTGAATATCATTTATTTCACTTAGACCAGTAGGTCACTTTATAAGGTCAACAAAAAAAAAAGTGAATCTATTTGCTCATTCCAAGGTGTAGATTCCTATGGAGAAGAACGAGCAAGAAACTCCATAGGTTACTCTTTCTCAATCAGGTTCACAATACAATTCTCTAGTTACATAGTTTTATTGGTTCGATTGTGTGAGAACAATGTAACCAAAAGCAAATAACCCTAAGGGGTCATCCATAAATTACGTCACACGAATTTCATGATTTTTCGCTCCTCCTCCCCGTCCTTGTCACAGCTAGGAACATTTGTGAGACTACCCCCTTAGTGTGACGTCACGTTATGCAGAATTATGTATGTATATAAAATATTAAATGAAAACAGCGGTTTCGAAATCAGTTTTATTTATATTTAAACTACAATAAAAATATATTAATACCAAATGAAACAAAATAAAAAATATGTTTGATAATATTTTTTTGAAAAGTGACATCACAAAGTTTAGGATCCCTCCCTCCCCCTTGTCACACAATGTCACACTTCGTCGACCCCCTCCCTACCCCTTAACGAGTGACATAATTTTTGGACCGTCCTAAAGATACGCGAGTAAGCCGAAAAATATAATAACTAATTAATTTATTATGACTCACGAAAGTCACATATTATAATCTCAGAATTCGATAATGTGCCCGGTATATGGCAATAGACTCACCCCCTATTACACGGGACTCATAACATAATTAGTGAAAAGTGGGTGTTACATTGTACATTGTGTATTGTCTATCCCTTCGAGGATGAAAAGGCTAGATCGGATGCGGTGTTCAATATTATCAGCCAATAATATTAACTGTGAGAGCCATGCTTCGGCACGAATGGGCCGGCTCGACCGGAGTGATACCACGGCCTCACAGAAAACCAACGTGAAACAACGCTTGGGTTGTGTTTTGTCGTGTGAATGAGGTTACCGGGGGCCAAATTACCTCAAGTCTCCCCAATCCCCACAATTCTCAAAAGGCCGGTAACACACTTGTAACGCCTCCGATGTTCCAGGTGTCCATGGGCGACGCCGATTGCTTACCATCAGGTGATCTGTCTGCTCGTTTACCGGCTTATTTCATAAAAAAGTAACTGTCCCACTGCTGACCAAAGGCCTCTTTTCATACGGAGAAGGTTTGAGCATTAATCACCTCGCTTCTTCAAGGCAGTGTGTAATAGGGTAGATGCCTAATTTTTATTTTAATGTCCGTCTGGTTGATTATTTTAAATCATTAGACACGTATTTTTTATTTTCTTACAGATACGAATACTTTCGACGATATATTGATTGGAAATGTCGAGTGACGTCACTTCTATGTACATTTTATACGTAGAAATGACGTTTTAGCCCCCACTCCTAAACTTTGATTCGTTTTATCTAAGTATTGTTTTATTATACGACAAAATAAAAAAATACGTGTCTAATATTTTTTCATTACCTAACTTACGGAATATTTAGATTTTTAATTTTCATACCCTGTCATCATCTCAATTCCCAACTAAAGCCGTTAAGCCGTAAGGTGTTAAGTAAAAAACAAAATGTAATCATTTAAAGGAGATTTTAATTATAAATAATAATTAATTATAATTTGTCTGTCTGTCTGGCGTGGTGCTTAGCTTCTAACTTAACCCTGGGAGAAGGGAGGAGAGCCGTTGGTACGAACGTAGTAGATACCCTTGGATCTGGAAAGAGAGAGAGAATGAAAATTAATTATTGACAATCATCATTACCATTTAGCATTAGGCTGTAACTCTTTCACTGCTGGAAAGAGCTCACGACTTCTATATAACATAACATCACGCCTTTTAGCCTCGAAGGGGTAGGCAGAGGTGTACATTATACCACTGTACAATGTAACGCCCACTTTTCACGACTTCTCTTCTCATAATAAGAAGGAATTAGAACATTTTTTCATGGCATAAACCGCTAAACTATCAGACGCATCACCTGATGGTAAGCAATCGGCGTCGCCCATTGACACCTGGAACACCAAAGGCGTTACAAGTGCGTTACCGGCCTTTTGGGAATTAGGTTTTGAAGAATTTGAAGATTGTTAGGTGTTCAAGAATCTCCTCAGATTGGGTAAAGGCCTATATTATATTATATTATGAGGATAACAGACCCTCAATTTTGCCTCCCAGTTCTGCCATAACTCCACTACCAGTACTTAAAACTTAAGGGGCTTGTAATGCACTTGTCCATGTGAAACAAATGAATTTATTTCTGCAAATAGGCTACAAGGCAGCACTTTTACATGTCAATTTTATCAAGCGAACGATCCTTCGCGGCCATTGGCGGCGCCGAATGTATAACATTAATACAATGACCATCAGGTATTAAAGAAATATTGCTCATGAATATGAGCCCATAGCATGGCTTGAAACTAGTCGAGTTCCTCGTCAAACTATTACGTGAGTAAGCCGAAAACATAATAATTTTTAAGCATGTCTCACGAAAGTTATACTTAATACAAACAAAAAGAACATGCACGACAGAAAAGACATATAAAAAAGTATAAAGACAGAAAAATTAAAAGATAACAGGTAAATTATAAAACTAAAACAAGCCAATAATACAGGTGCAACATACTGCGTGGTGTTGGCGGACATGCCCAATCCGAACGGGTCACCAACTCAGCATCAAGCTGGGCACAATGAGCACCCAACACTGATTTTCATTGGTTTTTAATTTTTATTGGTTACTTTTTTTTAAGGGGTGAAAATCATCGAATGACTGCTCCCGCCTGGGTGAGGCGGAAGGGAGTGTCAGACTCTTACTGACTAAAAACCACCCCGTTCCTTCTCGTACACGTCGAGCCGGAGCCCCGGTTACCCGTTAGGTTCTCCGCGACTCCGAATCGGATATAGACTCCGAATAGGATATTTCATTTTTATTGGTTAAGTACTCACCCGGTCTTAGGCTGAAGTCCTCCCATTGGAAGAGTGGCAGGTCCGGAACAGTTGCCAGCCTTGGCTTCCTCGACTGATGCGCACTGGGTGCCAGTGAAGCCACCAGTAGCTAGAGACTCGCCCATGTAGAAGTAGGACCTAGAAAGAGATGGAAGTTTAGTTCGAATTATCCTTACTAATATTATAAATCGGAAAGTGAGTTTGTTTGTTTGTTTGTTCCGCTTTCACGCAGTAACCACTAAACCGATTGCTTTGAAATTTTGCAGGCTTAAAGTTCAAAGTCCGGATTAAATAATAGGGTACTTTTTATCCCGGAAAATTGATATTCCCGAGGGAAAACAAAAGTATTGGTATAGATGGCGCTGTGTGTATTGATATATATCACACTAGATTTTGATCATTGTTCTGTTGATGATGACGATGATGATGATGATTATGATCTTCACCTGTAATGGTCGCAAACAGCTGTGGCACACCCAGGCATATCAATTCCCCCATTAGGATAGAAGTCCACATCACCAGCGGGTTCCTCCTGCCCAATGTTACCGATGTTGGTATGGATCACTTCGGTGTAGACTGCATCATCAGCGCGGACGGCCTGGCTGGAGAGCCAACGGTCTGCTGGGTCCATAGCTGTTAGGAAAAAGACGGGGATTAGGTTAAAAATTTTAGTCTATCAGAAGATTTGACTACAAAAACTGAGGGTCGCCACTGGAGTGGTTTTAGCATAACATCATATAAAATAACATCATGCCTTTTATCCCCGAAGGGATAGGCAGAGGTGCACACAGAAGTAACACCTACTTTTCACTATTTATGTTATGAGTCCCATGTAATAGGGGGTGAGCCTATTGCCATATACCGGGCACATTTCCAGAGTCCGTGCTACTACTGAGGTATTTACAAACCCAGTAATACTTTTGCCCGACCCGGGAATCGAACCCGAGACCCCTTGCCCGGCAGTTGCACTTGTGACCATTCGGCCAACGAGGCAGGCAGAGCAGAGAGAGTGGTTTTAGAGACGTATAAATCCCAAACTCTAGACTCACCCCCTATTACATGGGACACATAACATAAATAGTGAAAAGTGGGTGTTACATTGTACAGTGACATTAAGTGCCGTAATGTGCACCTCTGCCTACCCCTTCGGAGATAAGAGGCGTGATGTTATGTTATGTATTAAAAGAAAATACCCCATCTATTTCTCACCAGTAAGATAGCTGGGACGGCCGAGCAGACTCCTGCCGACGATACCGGCCTGGTGAGCGCCGACACTGTATCCCAAGATGTGGTAGTTCTCCACATTGGCACCAGACGCCTGGTTCAGCCAGTCGATGAAGCGGCCCACACTGCGACCTGCGGAGAAACAGGATATGTGTAAAGAAACCAGAATAGGGTAGATGACTAATTTTTATTTTAATGTCCGTCTGGTACATACTTTAAAACCATTCATCAACAGCCTATAAATGCCCACTGCTGAGCAAAGCCTCTTCTCACACGGAGAAGGTTAGAGCATTAATCACCACGCTTGCTCAATGCGGGTTGGCGATTTCAAACTTATAATTAGGAATTATAAGTCCAGGTTTCCTCACGATGTTTTTCCTTCACCGTTTGTCAGTGGTGTCTAAATAATCTTAGAAAGTACATATAACTCGGAAAAAGTCACATTGGTACTTGCCGTTGGTAGGTTTCGAATCCGCACCCTCATGCATGAGAAGTGCGTCTTAAACCTCCGGGCCACCACAACATTAAAAACATTAGACACGTATTTTTTATTTTCTTACGGAAACGAATAGTTTTGAACATATATTGATTTTTAAAATATCGCATGACGTCACTTTTGAGTACGATTTATACTCTACTATAAAATGACGTAGCTACCTCTCACTCTTAAACTTTAATTCTCGTTTTATCCGAGTATTGTTTTCTTATACGACAAAATAAAAAAATACGTGTCTAATATTTTTTCATTATCTAACTTACGGATTAATGAGATTTTTAATGTTCATACCCTGTCATCATCCCTATTAAGACGGTTTAACCAAGGATACCACGTTTGCACAGTTTAGTTTCTTGCATACTTCTACTTTTATAAAAATTTGCGTGAAACCACATTCGTTTTCTGGGCAATCGTGTGAGTGAGGCTACTGGAAAATTCCAACACATTCTCTCTATTTTTTTTAAGAGACAAGTCGGTGAGAGATTGATCACCTAATATTAAGCAATCGACGTCGCCCTTGGCCACTCGGAACACCAGAGGATTAGGAGTTCGAGGATTGTTAGGGATTCAGGGATTGGGGAGATTGGAGAAGGGGATAGAATTGGACCTCCGGTAACCTCACTCACACGACGAAACACAATGCAAGCGTTGTTTCACGTCGGTTTTCTGGTCGGACGTGGTATCACTCCGGTCGAGCCGGCCCATTCGTGCCGAAGCATGGCTCTCCCACACTTTAAACCTAATAACTTACCCACTTGTGTCTGCTCTGGTGTTGCATGTTCATTGGCGGTGCCTATTGCTTACCATCAGGGGATGCGTCATTGATTTCCCACCTTTTATTATAAAAAAAGTGTTTTATAGGTATCCTTTAATGTATGGGAGAAGTAAATGAGCTGACGGATCACTTGACGAAGTGATCAGCACTGTCCTGACATTTTTTTTGTCTAATATTAAAGCTAGAAGGGTCAAAAAGTACCCTTAACCGACGAGCATGCATGAAAAGACTGATGACTGTTGATAAAGCGAAAGAGGTATGTAGGAATCGTAGCAATTGGCGTTCCATAGTCTTTGAATACCCCCATGGGAGACAGGCGTGACGTAATGTATATATGTATTAAAGATAAGTAGATATAGTCATATTGTGTGCCAAACTACGTGCAGTAGTTACAGCTGTATGCTGACCATCATTTACTTAGTCACCTATATCAGGAGATTTAATCTCAAAAGCTTACCTGAGCTGATTCCGTTGAATCCTAAGTGAGCACCCTTGCCCCAGTCGACCACAATGACGTTGACATCACCAGCCAAAATGAAAGCTGAAAGAGAAGATAATAATCAGAAGTTATTAGAAGAGACTACTTCGTTGGCCGAGTAGATGCAAGAGCGGCAGTCATTATTAAGCTAATTACTCATTCCAAGATGTAGATTCCTATGGAGAGGAACGAGCAAGAAACTCCATAGGTTACTCTTTTTCAATCAGGTTCACAATACAATTCTCTAGTTACATAGTTTTATTGGTTCGATTGTGTGAGAACAATGCAACACCAAAATCCAGTCAAAGAGATCGAAAAAGGAAATACCCGAAGGACAGTAAAATACTACCTCGTTGGCCGGGTGGTCGCAAGTGCGAATCGGTAAGGGCTCTCGGATTCGATTGCCGGGTCAGGCAAAATATTACTGGGTTTTAAAAAAAGTCTCAGTAGTAGCACGGATTCTGGAATTGTGCCCGGTATATGGCAATAGGCTCACTCCCTATTACATGGGACTCATAACATAAATAGTTAAATGTGGAGTTACATTGTACAGTGGCATTAAGTGCCGTCATGTGCATCTCCGCCTACCTCTTCGGAGATAAAATGCGTGATGTTATGTTACGTTTAAGTTTCATAAAATAATTATATAGGTACTAGCGGACCCAACAGACGTTGTCCTGCATATCCACTTGAATGTATAAACAAAAATTCATTCAAATTAGTTCAGCTATTTAGGATAAATAACCTAAACATCGACTGCAGCGCCATCTGCCGGGCTGATTTGTGAATCTAAACCATTCCCAGATCCCCTTGAACACACACAAAAAACATCAAAATCGGTCCAGTCGTTTGAGAGAAGTTCAGTGACATACACACTCACAGAAGAATCCTTACTAATATTATAAATCTGAAAGTGAGTTTGTTTGTTTGTTCCACCTTCACGCCGTAACTACTCAACCGATTGCTTTGAATTTTTGCAGACGTAAAGTTAGAAGTCCGGATTAAATAATAGGGTCCTTTTTAACCCGGAAAAATGTGATATTTCCGAGGGAAAATAAAAGTATTGGTATAGATGGCGCTGTGTGTATTGGTATATGTCACATAGGCTACTTTTTATCCTTTTGTGACGCGAGCGAAGCCGCGGGTTATATAAATAAAGATACGTTTGTAAACGCTCCCACGACACAGGAGATACCAAGCCCAGTGTAATTTTTCAAAAATAAAATGTATACGTTACCAGGAACGAGGACTGTATTGAATCCACTGAGGATGTTTCCGAGGAACCCGTGGATGAGGATGATAGTTCTCTTTTTGGGGTCGAAGTGGCTAGCGGCGAGGAGGGCGTTGTTACCCTGGACGATAGGCTGGCTTACCAGTGGGTTGGACCTGGAAGAGTAGTGGAATGTTAACCGCTATTTCATAATCATTTATTTATTTGTAACATAGGTAGTATTACATGGATGTTCTTATATTAAAAACAGGTTTAGTTACACTATGTTTCGCCTTACTTGGCGTACAAATATTAATATATCATATTTTAATTGAATTAATACAAAGAAACAAAGGTTTATTAAAGTCAAGAATGTCAATGTAAAAATCAATGTCATATGAGATTAAAATTTAACAAAATAAAAAAGATTCACTTGAATACTTATATATATGTATCTGAAACAATTCGAATTAATATTAGAGTTTTCCCCAGTTTTTAGTAAGTGATACCAAGTGAATAGTGTATTATTTTTAATAGTAACAGTTATAACTGTAAAATCTTATATCTAATGAGATCAACATCTTATAAAAATATCAAATTCCACTAACATAACTATTGTTTGTTGAAGAATATTTTTTATATTACAGCTAATGGATCCTCTACCAATTTTACTGTTCCCCGCCTTATCTGATGATTCTCTCACTTTTTTACATATTTGATCCATTTTATAAGTAATGACTGCCTCATTAGCCGAGTGGTCGCAAGTGCGACTACCGAGCAAGAGGTCTCGGGTTCGATTCCCGGGTCGGGCAAAGTATTTTTTTTTTATGGAATAGGAGGCAAACGAGCAGACGGATCACCTAATGCTAAGCGATCAGCGCCGCCCATGGACACCCGCAACACCAGAGGAGTCACCGGTGCGTTGCCGGCCCTTTAAAAAGGAGTACGCTCTTTATGCTTTATAAATTGTATAGGTATACATATGTTTGTAAACGCTCCCACGATACAGGAGATACTAGTATAAGATTTTTAAAAAAATCTCAGTAGTAGCACGGAGTCTGGTATTGTGCCCGGTATATGGCAATAGGCTCACCCCCTATTACATGGGACTCATAACATAAACAATGAAAAGTGGGTGTTGCGTTATATAGTGGCATTCAGTGCCGTAATGTGCTCTGCGTACGCCTTCGGGGATAAAAAGCATGATGTTATGCTTGATAACAACTTACAGTTTGGCAAAAAAGAGTTTTTAGTAATAGAGGTCGCTAGTATCGTATCTGTGACAGCCTGGTACACTACGACTCAACCGGTTTTGATATTTGTTATTTTTATCGAGTTTAAAAAGAGGAGGTACTGTGTTCGGATGATTGTGTATTCATGGGATGTGGTCCGAAGTGAGTGATTCAGTCTAAGGCAATATTAGTACCAGCTGTCACCGCGTCCAATTCTATAATACTAAGCTCTAAATGGTCGTGGTGGCCCGGAGGTTTAAGACGCCCGCTTCTCATGCATGAGGGTGTGGGTTCGAAACCTACCAACGGCAAGTACCAATGTGACTTTTTCCGAGTTATATGTACTTTTTAAGATTATTTAGACACCACTGACAAACGGTGAAGGAAAACATCGTGAGGAAACCTGGGCTTATAATTTCTAATTATAAGTTTGTGATCGCCAACCCGCATTGAGCAAGCGTTGTGATTGATGCTCAAACCTTCTCCGTGTGAGAAGAGGCTTTGCTCAGCAGTGGGCGTTTATAGGCTGTTGATGAAGCTCTAAATTCTATCTTAACTCCAAAATATGCTTACCTGGTGTAAAGGTGATACTCATTGTCTACATCAGGATTGTATCGTGCCATATCTCTGAGGTCGCTGGCTTTGATCCAGGAGTCGACCAGGTGAGGGTTTCCTTCATCGTCCCTGATGTAACCATAGCGAAGACCTTCAGGGTTCAGCTTCGTGATCACCGGGTCCACTGCCGCTGGGATCGCTGGGGATGGAAAAGAGAATGGTGATTTGAGATTGGTGATTTTGTTTTTAACATAACTGTCGTGGAAAGCTCTACTATTTTCGAATCACAGAGGGGTTAGTACGTTGCGCGAAATCGCCCCGAGCGCGCACGCTGCTCATGAGGAAGAACCCTTCTGTGGCTCGAAACTAGTAGAGCTTTTCTCGGTATATTCACGTGGGTAACCCACGTTTTTAGTTCACTGGTGATTTTTGATATATGCGATAGTAAAGCTAGTCTTAAGTTTTATTAAAACATATCAAAGTCAAAGTCAAAATCAAAATCATTTATTTCAATTAGACCTGGAAGGCACTTTTGAACGTCAACAAAATAAATTTAAAAGTGAAGCTAGTTGGTCATTCCAAGGCGTAGATTCCTATCGAGACGAACGAGCAAGAAACTCCATAGGTTACTCTTTTTCAATCAGGTTTACAATACAATTCTCAAGTTAAGTACCTACATAGTTGTATTGGTTTAATTGTTCGAGAACAATGTAACACCAATGAATGTCGTGGTGGCCCGGAGGTTTAAGACGCCCACTTCTCATGCATGAGGGTGCGGGTTCGAAACCTACCAACGGCAAGTACCAATGTGACTTTTTCCGAGTTATATGTACTTTCTAAGATTATTTAGACACCACTGACAAACGGTGAAGGAAAAACATCGTGAGGAAACCTGGACTTATAATTTCTAATTATAAGTTTGAAATCGCCAACCCCCATTGAGCAAGCGTGGTGATTAATGCTCTAACCTTCTCCGTGTGAGAAGAGGCTTTGCTCAGCAGTGGGCATTTATAGGCTGTTGATGATGAATGTAACACCAAAATCAGAAGAAGTCACGATTTTCAGCAGTAAGGGACTCGACTAGGAAGGAAAAGGTAACATTCACTCTTCACCAGTTATCTCTGAGCACCAGTAACGGACTTATCTATCATCGTTATCAACAGCGGGTAGCAGTCCACTGCTGCACTATGAGTCTCCTCTACATAAGAGGGGTTTGTCATAATCTCCGCAGGCAGGCGGGTTGGAGATCGCGGTATAAAAGGGTCAGGTTTATCAGAGAGCGCTGCAGTACGGTCTCTGTCATTATCTCTTAGTCGGGTATATGACACCCGGGTGAAGAGTAGCGGTGGTGAAAATTTTATTTTACTTTACCGTCATTACTCGACAAGACTTAAGATAGACGGGTATATGCCACCCGGGTGAAGACTAGCGGTGGTGAAAAATGTATTTTACTTTACCGTTATTACTCGACAAGATTTAAGATAGGCGGGTATATGACACCCGGGAGACGACTAGCGGTGGTGAAAATTTTATTTTACTTTACCGTCATTACTCGACAAGATTTAAGATAGTCGGGTATATGACACCCGGGAGAAGACTAGCGGTGCTGAAAATTTTATTTTACTTTACCGTCATTACTCGACAAGATTTAAGATAGTCGGGTATATGACACCCGTGAGACGACTAGCGGTGGTGAAAAATGTATTTTACTTTACTGTCATTACACGACAAGACTTAAGATAGTCCGGTATATGACACCCGGGAGACGACTAGCGGTGGTGAAAATTTTATTTTACTTTACCGTCATTACGTGACCAGATTAAAGATAGGTATTAATCCTTTTTATATTTTATCGAAATGGATTAACGTACTATATCCACTTTTGGTAAAACCCGTCGGTAACGAAAATAATTAAGATTAAAAAAAAACATCATCAATATTTTTTTTAAACAATTTTAATCTTTAACTTCCGCACGTGTTTCGATAAACAAGATTAGATCTTGCGCCTCATATCTTAAGATCGTAATTACTTTATAATCTCATAGGTACGCTACAAGTTAAGATTTTTGTACTTTGGGTTAGGGGAACTGATTATGTTATCTGTGGCTTTGACAGTTTCGGATTGGCTACATTGTTTATGGCAAATAGGCTGACGAATCACCTGATGGTAAGCAATTACAAGTGTCGCTGAGAACCTAACGGGTAACCGGGGCTCCGGCTCGACGTGCAGGAGAAGGAACGGGGTGGTTTTTAATCAGTAAGAGTCTGACACTCTCTCCCGCCTCACCCAGGCGGGAGCAGTCATTCGATGATTTTCCCCCCTCAAAAAAAGGCCTATAACCTCTCGCGCGCCTCTCGTACACACGGGTAAATATTTTAATAGAAAAGCGAAGTAACTATTCTGTTCAATCAAATAAAGAACGGGTTGCAAACTTAAAAATATACGTCACAGAAAAAAATATCCAATCAGTGCGCGTTTCTCGAACACCCTGTACAATTGCGCGATGGGCACCCAACTCTCTCGTACACACGTGTGTACGAGAGAGTTAAGTGTTGCTGCTGTGGGAAAGCCATGCTTGCGCACGAATGGAGTGGCTCGACCGGAGTGATACCACGGCCTTACAGAAAGCTGACGTCAGATAACGCTTGCGTTGTGTTTCGTCGTGTGAGTGAGGTTACCGGAAGCTCAATTACCACCCCCCCCCCTTTTTCCCCAATCCTTGAATCTCCAACAATCCTTAAATTCCTAATCCCAAAAGGCCGGTAACGCACTTGTAACACCTCTGGTGTTCCAGGTATCTGATTACTTACCATTAGGTGATCCGTCTGGTCATTTACCGGCTTATCCCATAAAAAAAATACCAGTGAAAAGTACTTTTGTCAACCTCTGCGGGGATTAAAAGCGATGACGTTATTTTACCTGGGGATTAATAATTACGATAGATAATCACCATACCTGACACAGCAGCGATTATAGCGGAGACCACCAGTACACTAAGAGCCACCATTCTGTAATGTCAATTAAACATACAGTTTGTCGCTTTATATATCAATTAACACAGATTTACTTATCTATACATATATACATATAAATATAATTGGACTGTCTGTTTGTAATATTAAAATAACCGATTTTTAATAAATGCATATGAAGCTGGCATGACAAGCCCGCCACAACCTCCGAAAACCGCTGCAACTCCTGTAAGCCAGGATCTACAGTAGATACAACCATGAAAACACCGGAACACTGAAGTCCGGCGCGTCCCAGGGACATGAGTAACTGTCTTGGTTCCCGCCATGAAGTGAATCAGAAGATATTATAATATCTAGGAGGAGAAGAAGAAAAACGATAGTTTCCACTTCCCTCGGTGAATTACTGCAGGATACAGAATGAATTAAGCCTAAAGGCACAAAAAAGAGACTGCTCCACGGAAATTTGACTGAAAACTAAGTGGGTCCTATGTGTGAGCTGTTATACTTGCTTCCAATAATAGGTATGGCAAAAGCGCCTAAACGCACGGAAATTTATTCTAGATTCCACAAGGTCCGTATAATAAGCTGCAGTAGGCAGAGGTGCACATTAAGCCACTATAAAATGTAACACCCACTTTACATTATTTATGTTATGAGTCCCATGTAAAAGGGGGTGAGCCTATTGCCATATACCGGGCACAATTCCAGAGTCCATGCTACTACTGAGAATTTTTTAAACCCAGTAATACTTTGCCCAACTCGGGAATCGAACCCGAGACCCCTTGCTCGGCAGTCGCACTTGCGACCACTCGGCCAACGAGGCATACCAAAATAACATATTTTCAATTATTGTCCGTCTGTCTGTTTGTACTGGCTAATCTCTGGAATGGCTGGACCGATTTTGCAAGACTTTTATTGGCAGGTAGCTGATGTACAAAGGCGTAACATAGGCTACTTTTATTTTTGGAAAATTGAACCAAAAACTAAGTTTTGTTCTAAAATTCATATTCTACGCGGACGAAGTCATAGGCAACAGCTAGGCTATATCTACATATAAAATAATTATCATTGATTGGTTTGTATGTGGATGATAAATATGTATATTAGTACTTGTTCTAGCCAGCTGGCGGCTGCCTGCGGCTCCGCTCGAGACATAATTCGTTTTATTAATCCATTTTAATGACACTGATAGACAAACCGCAGTCGCCATCTTGAGTAGACAATAAACGTTCCGTTTCATACTAGCTCTCAAATACGCCTCGCCAATCAACACGTCGTCGCGTCAAAAAAGTATAAATTAACAAGAAATATTAATAATTTCACGCAAACGAAGTCGCGGGTAACAGCTAGTCCTTACTAATATTATAAATCGGAAAGTGAGTTTGTTTGTTTGTTTGTTCCGCTTTCACGCCGTAACTACTAAATCGATTGCTTTGAATTTTTGCAGATGTACAGTTAGAAGTCTGGATTAAATAATAGGGTACTTTTTAACCCGGAAAAATTTGATATTCTCGAGGGAAAACGAAATTATTGGTATAGAAAGACTGCGCGGTTGGTGCGGTGGCTGGGCAACCGGCTGCCGTGCAACGTGTCGCGGGTTCGATTCCCGCACGGAACAACACTTTGTGTGATCCACAAATTGTTGTTTCGGGTCTGGGTGTCATGTGTATGTGAACTTGTATGTTTGTAAACGCACCCACGACACAGGAGATAATCCTAGTGTGGGGTAACGTTTTTTTTAAAGAAAAAAATAAAGAAAAAGATGGCGCTGTGTGTATTGGTATATGTCATATAGGCTAATTTTTATCCTTTTGTGACGCGAGAGAAGCTGTGGGTAAAAGCTAGTTAAAATATAATTTAGCTTTAATCTGCAAAAAAATATGTCGGTAGATAAAACTTGATATTGATATCATTATAATCCTAATCTAATTCACAAGGGGAGGCAGACATCATCATTAACGGGTAACCACTGCTGCACTATGAGTCTCCTCTACATAAGAGGGTTTGTCATAATCTCCGCAGGCAAGCGGGTTGGAGATCGCAGTATAAAAGGTTCAGGTTTATCAGAGAGCGCTGCTGCACGGTCTCTGTCCTTATAGTCCCTTAGTCGGGTATATGACACCCTGCGGGAAGAGTAGCGGTGGTTGACTAATGTATACTAGTCTGCCGTCATCACACGGGTTAGTGGTATTTTAAATTTTTGTTAAAGCCAAAACAATAAACGGGCAATCAAATGAACAAAGCCTATTCTCACACGGAGAAGGTTTAAGTATTAATCACCACGCTTGCTCAATGCGGGTTGGCGATTACAAACTTGTAATTTGAAATTATAAGCCCAGGTTTCCTCACGATGTTTTCCTTCACAGTTTGTCAGTGGTGTCTAAATAATCTTAGAAAGTACAATATAACTCGGAAAAAGTCACATTGGTACTTGCCGTTGTTAGGTTTCGAGCCCGCACCCTCATGCATGGGAAGAGCGTCTTAAACCTCCGGGCCACCACGACATTTAACAAATTTCTCTGCATTGCGTCAATCATTAACAAAATACTTGTAATTAGTATAACCCAAGTAATTATAATAGACTTACGTCTCCGTGTTTGTCCAAAGATAAGATTAAGTACAATAAATTAATTAATACGCGAATTTTTTGTAAATAACGTTGATAATTGTGTTTTTATGACGTAACATATTCGTCGCTGAGAACCTAACGGGTAACTGGGGCTCCGGCTCGACGTGCAGCAGAAGGAACGGAGTGGTTTTTAGTCAGTAAGAGTCTGACACTCCCTCCCGCCTCACCCAGGCGGGAGCAGGCATTCGATGATTTTCCCCCTTAAACAAAAATGACGTAACATATTGAATATAGCTTCTGCCACGGCTTCGCTCACGTTACCGGGGGTAAAAAGTAGCCTAATATCTATGTATTATTTTTTACCTGACTGCCTCGTTGGTCGAGTGGTTGCAAGTGCGACTGCCGGGCAAGGGGTCTCGGGTTCGATGTAGGGGCCGATGGTCGAAATTAGCTTGAACCGATATTACAAATGTGAAAATAAGTGAGTTTGTGTGAATGTTTGTTATTCAGTCACATTAAAACGGCTTTTTTTTTAAGGGGGTAAAATCATCGAATGACTTCTCCCACCTGGGTGAGGCGGGAGGGAGTGTCAGACTCTTACTGACTAAAAACCACCCCGTTCCTTCTCCTGCACGTCGAGCCGGAGCCCCGGTTACCCGTTAGGTTCTCCGCGACTACATTAACGGCTAAAGGGATCGGGATGAAATCTGGAACAGAGGTAGATTTTGGATGGTAAAAAATAACATAACATAACATCACGCCTTTTATCCCAGAAGGGGTAGGCAGAGGTGCACATTATGCCACTGTACAATGTAACACCCATTTTTCACTATTTATGTTATGAGTCCCATGTAATAGGGGGTGAGAGTATTACCATATATCGGGCACAATTCCAGACTCCGTGCTACTACTGAGTCTTTTTTTAAAACCCAGTAATACTTTGCCCCACCCGGGAATTGAACCCGAGACCCCTTGCCCGGCAGTCGCACTTGCGACCACTCGTCTAATAATTTATTTATTTTCATTTTAAGTACTTTGTACCGGATGATGTGACGTCAAAATACTTGTGACGTCACAATAGCAGAACACAGTAATCGGAAAGTGAGTTTGTTTGTTTGTTCCGCTTTCACGTCGTAACTACTGAACCGATTGCTTTGAAGTCTGGATTAAATAATAGGGTACATTTAATCCCGGAAAAAATTGATATTCCCGAGGGAAAACAAAAGAATTGGTATAGATGGCGCTATGTGTATTGAAAGAAAGAAGAAAGAAAGAATGAAAAACCATTTATTGGTATATGTCACATAGCTACTTTTTATCCTTATGTGACGCGAGCGAAGCCGCGGGTAAAAGCTAGTTCTAGATAAATTTATCTATGATAAAATATAGACTAATTATTATTTAATCTAACGCGCGAATGACTGTGGCATTTTTTATTTGTTTTAGAAATATTTGCACTTAAAATAATAGGGTAGATTACTAATTATTATTTTAATGTCCGTCTGGTAGATTATTTTAAAACATTAGACACGTATTTTTTCTTTTCATATGGAAATAAAGACTTTCGATATCCCCGAAGGAGTAAACAGAGGTGCACATTGCGGCACATTATGCCACTGTACAATGTAACACCCACTTTTCACTATTTATGTTATGAGTCCCATGTAATAGGGGGTGAACCTGTTGCCATATACCGTGCACAATTCCAGACTCCTTGCTACTACTGAGATGTTTATAAAAAAACCCAGTAATACTTTGCTCGAACCGGGAATAGAACCCGAAATCCCATGCCCGGCAGTCGCACTTGCGACCACTCGGATAACGAGGCAAGCATATCGCATTGTAGGTACTGACCAATTAATTGAACTGGGCAAAAACTACACCACATAAATATAGCGTAAGTATAGCGAAATACATCTCTTCGACAAAATATTTATACAAGATTAAAAGTGAGAGTGTTTTAAACACTCCAGCTGACCCTCTCTGACACAAGAAAGGTTGAAGATACAAGGGGTATAGTGTTTGTACAGGCCCGGCTTATCTCCGGTCAAGCAGTCCGGTAAAGTTGGGGTTCGATACAGTTGTGGACAAAAGTGTTACAGTATATTTTTATAAACTGACATTATAACATAACATCACGGTTTTTATCCCCGAAGGATTAGGCAGAGGTGTACATTACGGCACTTAATGCCACTGTACAATATAACACCCACTTTTCACAATTCCAGACTCCGTGCTGCTACTGAGTTTTTTTTTTAAAAACCTTGTAGTACTTTGCTCGACACGGGAATCGAACACGAGCTGCTCAACGGCCAACGAGGCAGTCAGAAAACAAGTAATATTCACTACTAGACTTTGAAAACACAATCCCTCTTTTCAACACAGTCGGATAAAACAGAGGAGCGGTAGAAACTAACGGCACAAGCTCGATCAAAGTGAAACTAAAATGAAATACAAGGGTTGATG